CAGGCATGGCACTAATGACACTGAAATTAGCCTAGGCCAGATAACTACTGGGCTGAAAACATGACAGTCTGGCCCAGGCTAATTTCAGTGTTTCCTTACAATTGCATACCTGCCATTATATCGCACGACATAATATTTTATTTCATATTTTCAAAATATCTTAACTAAAAACTGTACAGTGTATACAGCTGCGAGACACTCCCCTATAAGGAAGCTGGAAGTAACTTAAGCCGTCAAATAAGACGCTACGAATACGAAGCTTAACGGATCGGAAGCTGCAGATAAGTAGCAACTTAAGCCGCGTGTGACTTTGCCATTAGTTTAGGTGACAAGGTTCACCACAGCTAAGAAACACATAAACAACGGAATCGGCAAACGTACTGAGAAAGCGCTGCAGTGATCCGTAAATCCGCCCACCACCCAACTCCGATTAACATATTTGCATATACTTGAAAATGCTAAATTCTATTTAGAGAATACCATATCATGAACAAAAACGGTATGCAATATCAGTATTTTTACCAGACTTGTTAGTGTCTTCTATTTGTTTGTGATTTGTTTGTCAAAAAAAGAATGCCACTATAAGTCTACTAAAAAGCTTTTAATGTCGTTTGAATACTTAGTGTTTCTGATTTGTTTGCCTCTCGAAAAAGAAGAATATTGCTTCGAAAGTAATTTATAAACCTTTTAAATTGTCCTTCCATTAACTTTTTGTGCTCAGACAACAACAAGAAAAGCATATCCGTGGAGGCAGCCATGTTTGTTCCGAGATGAGTAGCTTGAACGGAAGACGGATGTGACATCACGTAACTCGAAATTTTCAACTTCGCCAAGATAATCAAATACAACCATACATTCTTTTCCTCTCACGATTTTTGCTCAGCTTTTGTCCAGATTGATGCCTGATATGTGTGCGCGTAGTTCAGGTTCTGTGACTAATTTAACGCCGAGCGAGCAAGTGAGTGTTGTGCAGATGCAAGCGCGTAGAGAGGATGGGTTTTCATGCTGGTGAGCGCATATGCATGCATGTTTTTTATGTGTGTGGGTTTTGAGACTAATTACATGCCATACCAGTTTATCATTTAAATTTTGAAAGCCAAAGTTCCTCCATACATGGAACTTAAACTGTGGAGGAGCAGCATGAATTTCTGCTTTGTTGGCTACCATTCCTGTTATTGCTAAACAAAGTTAGAAAGTAACTCCTGGCTCCAACTACCTGAGATGCTGTGCTGCCTGTCAGTGTGGGATTAGTTTAGAGCCTCGAAACTTACATCCTGAAACTGCTGGTCAATAACTGTTGGAGTAGAACTGCAATGACATATGGTAGTGTGACTCTGCAAATGGATGATATTGTTATGTCCCAAACATGCCCATGACTAATTATGAGACTTAGTATAACCTTATTGGGCCATGATCCTGGTGCTGCAACTATTTTTCCACCATTAAAATAGTAAAAGTGGGTTAGCCATGCCCTAAAAAAACTTGCACCATGCATTTCAGACTGCATGCTTTAGATCATTAAAATAGGGCCCCTAAAGTACTGTAAGAGCCTTTTAGTTACAACATTCACCACAAATTTCCAAAGAGCTGGAGTACTAAATGCCACATATATGTGAATGAAAAAGAAGAAAGAAAAAAACACCTAAAAAACTGGTCACTGAATCTGATGCAACTTCCACAACTTTTTTGGGATTCCACACTTATTAAATAAACACATTGCAATAAAAGATGCATTTTTGTCGACCAAATATTTTGTGTTTAAACAATAGGTATGTAGCCAGTTAAATTATATACCATACATTGCTCCAAAACTAAATTAGTTTATATTATCTTGAAAGTTGCATAAATATTCTGTCTATAGTGCAGTTAAATACCAACTCTATTACACCAGTTCCATGCAGAGTGACATCTCATATGTTTCAGAGAGCTAAAACAGTTTGCTCTGACTTTCATATCCAGGTTACCAATGTGGCATCACTGTCAAATTAGGTTTATATTCTGAGAGAAAATCAACAACAATATGAAAAAACTGTGAAAGTTCTTTAGTCTCCTTTATTCAGTTGGTCCTGTTTTATGTTTTCTGTACTAGGTGCGTGATAATTAGAGGTAGATTTTTGGCCATTGGTTTTGTTGATGTTGCTCAAAGAAGATAGAAGATAGGGCAAGGGGCAGATCTTCTTAGAAGTGTATGTATAAATTATTGATGTTTACATTTTGTTATTCTCTGGCTTGATATCAGGAGCTTTAAAATGCTCAAAACATTCATGTGTGAACTGAAGAGAAAGGGAAATGCAAATGATGACATCTCTTTTGCAGCTGATTGACAGTTCCAACCAACACACAAGTCCCTAGAGACATTTATGCCAAGAACTTTGCTGTGGTTTTGTAAATTAGAGCTGGCACATACACGAAAAGCCTAAATTTACTTGATTCAGCAAATTTTCAAATAGAGCCCCTCCCAAGCATCTACAGAGACACTCTTGAGATAGAAGTAAGTATTCATCAAATGATCAACATTTATATTGATTTCAGTGTGCATTAGCAGTTTAAAGGCAGTAGTGTTTTGACACTGCAAGCGCAGGTTTGAATGATTCTGTTTGAAATGTGAATAAGCGATGCGTGTCTCCCAAGCTGCCGTCTGCATATCAGAATAAGCAGGGTGAATGGATGCTCATAGCAAATGATAGCCAACCTTGCAGTGCTTCACATTTTTTGGTAGACATTTTGGGTGGTGCTTAATGCCATTTTTGAAAGGATTTTTTTCTCTAGAAATAGGCCACTTTGGGCATTGATGGTAGCAGTGAACTTTCCCCTTCACCCCTAAGTTGAGCATTCATACAGTATGGTAAATAAACAAGTCAAAGCCTTACATTTTAGTTAGGGAGTTGCAGGATTACTCAGTACTGATGTACAACTATATCCTTCTCAATAGAGTACAAGAAGGGTACAGTTGTTTATTTTTGATAAACACCGCTGGATGATTAGTACACCCCAAGCCACCAAAGGTGCTTTAGCATGTGGAACCATTGTCATAAACGCAGTGCATTTAGAATTTTACTGTAGTAGTTAATATTACATCCCATGAGACTGCCATGTGAATATTAAAACGTTAAAACGACTCATTACTTCCAGCTCAAGAAAAAGTCAATAGTTCAAAAAAATAATAATGAAATGAATTGCAGTTGTATGATATCTATCTTTTTATGTATTGGTAAATTTTGATTGAATAAATTCATTAGGTCAAAGGGAAACTGGCCACCTATACAATGGAGCCATCTCACTGTCACGATGCACAAGGTGCCTGGAGTAAATTGCTTCTGTCTGTAGTCTACGATTGAGTAATTAGGATCCTGACATGGCATCTACGTGCTGGCAAAATGAGGGTGAATGAAAGTGAAATCCTCTGAGGGGGTAGAGAGAATTCCACACTCTTTGCTGCTAATTTTCTGGAACTCCTGGTTAGGTTCATTCTATTCCCTCTAAATGAATGTAGCGGCAGGCTGAGTTTGATACATATGCAATAACTGGAATGAAAAACCAGATGCATCTTTCTGTTGATTTACTTTCTTATTACTGAGGGTGTCATTGATTGAGGAGCTGTTAGCATCCATGGAATTGTTTGACCTTTGCTGAGTCTTTTGGAAAATAAGCAAAATGGTTTTCAATGGAATGAAAGTGATTGCAGTTTATACAGAAAAAAAAATGAAAAGAGGTGCACATTTTATGGGCTTTTAGAAGTTACAACATTACACCGAGTTCATCTGCATACTATATAGTGGAGTTAATGGTCAGATTAACTGGCTTGTTATGAGTTAAATGTGATGTATTTCCAATCTTGTACCATCTAGTTGAATTTGGGCTATTGATACTTTTCACACATCTTCTGTATCAGTGGAAGTTATTGTTATTGTTATCCATCCATCCATCCATCCATCCATCTTCATACTGCTTCTCTTGGTCAGGGTCATGGGGGGGGGCCCTGGAGCCTTACCCTAGCATCATTTGATGCAGTGCTATGGTACACCCTGAATGCCAATCCACTGTAGGACTATTATTGTTGCATATGGATAATTTGTATGCTGTATTCTATTGTTTCAAATTTGCAACATGCCAGATGTTTTTCATTAATCATATCTAGTATTTACTATGACCAGTGCACAGACAGAATAACACAGATGCTGTCGTACATGTACAATAATAAGAAGAACACTAATAATACTAAAAAATGTTTACAATTAAATATAAAGAACTGCATAACATTACAACACCAGGGGCATCATTTATCTGACATCTGGCCTTTAGTATGTTTTTTTTCCATTGAATGTTTTGTTAGAAAGTAAAATTATTCTTTTATGCAGCAAGTGTGTGAAATTGTGTGATATTTCTACTGCTTTGTATATAGACCATAATGATGACATATATACTTCTTTTAATTCATTTTTGTTCCACCTAGAGCAGCCACAAGATTATATATAGTTGCGGTTTCATGATGACAGAACTAAAATAATGTAAGCTTTATTTCACACAATATATGACGGTACTGTACTGTATACTACACAATGCAACACCACATTCTGTACAATGTTATTCCATATACTGTACTATATATTGTAATGTAAAATTCCTGAAAATCTGATCAGGAAAAGCAGGTGGTAGGTTAATGGATATATTATACTATGCTACACCATAGATTCTAGTATACAATGTCATATAATCTGTCCTAAATTTTAAAAAGTCAAATTTAAAATTAAAAATGTATCACTAAATTGTATAATACATTTCATGACAAGATAGAGTGCTCGATAGAAGAGTACTGTTCTGTATTTACTTCAGTTTCTTGCAATTTATGATGTACCCACTGCTGAGACATTCTGTATATTTTGTTCTTACCAGGAAAATGGATACTAAAGTGGATGTCACCTGATGTTATCTGCTTATGACTGTCCAATGTGCTGCAATGTTCTGAAACTGCTATTGCCTGTGTGTTGCATTGTTTTTAGAAAGAGGTTCACGGGTGCCAGGACGAGGCTCAGAGGGCGGCACTGGACCAGATGTCCTTGAAGCTCAACAGCCAGTTATACTGTGCTGACACCAAGAGGCGGAAGGAGTTTGTTTATATGTCAAAGTTTAATTCATCTGAAAGCAATAGGTATGATTAAAATGCCATAGGTTTTGGCATTTTATTATCTTCTTGTATTTTTTTTAATTAATTGATTTGGAGAATACATATGAGATTGTAATTTTTCTATATTAAGTTATGTTCTACCCTCCAGGCCAAAATCTCCACTATGCACCAGCCTTCTTTAATTCTGGAGTGTATACTTGACTCCCTTACTTGGCTTTGAGTCAAATATTGCTATAATTCTTTTAAGCTTCTCATTCTAATGATTTATTTTGTGGAAAACTATAATGATCCCTCTTTGAATTTTAATGATCGTTGCCTGTTCAAGGATTCATTGTTTTGACTCCTTGGCCCTTACTTTTGCATGGAAGTATGTCTTTGGGGAGGAGCTGTCGGATGCTATAGTCGTAGCCCAGTTCTTGCTGGTTAGCCATAGTCGCTCAAGCCTGTCGGCTTGGTTGCATACCTCTCAGCCTTGAAGCTGATGAATATGGGACAGTTGCCATTCAAGGGGATAAAATCAAAATTCCAGCTGCAAAAAAATCTCTCCAAGGCAGAATAAATGCTTGAGGGAGATGTTAAATCCCACATTAGGAGGAGGTTTTAGCAACATAAATTAAAAGGCTCTTTCTGTAAAAGTGTCTTAGAGTAGGAAAGAGCTTTCCACCTTTCCTTTTTTCAGTGGGACTTGATGCCTTCTATAATTGGAGCTCAAAATGAATTAGAAACCATGGAGGGGTATTTTCACATCACTCATAAAGAAGGATTATGATGATGAAAGATTGATATCAAGTGGATTTAAGCTGAAGTTGGGAAAATCCATCCATCCATTTTCTGTAACCACTTATCCTATTCAGGGTCACAGGGGGTCCAGAGCCCATCCCAGAGGCTATGGTCACAAAGCAAGGAACAACCCAGGATGGGGCACCAACCCATCGCAGGGCGCACTCACACACCATTCACTCACACATTTTTGGTAATTCCGATCAGCCCGCAGGAAACCCCATGATGGCACAGGGAAACCATGCAACCTCCACTCACATGGGGTCATTGTTGAGACTCCAACTCTGGACTGTGAGGCAACATTGCTAACCACTAACCACTTTTACTTAGGGAAGTAAAAGTGACAGGATTGTAAGGGATAAATGAAATGTGATTGTAGCTTTTACCTTTTACCTATTTTTAGAAATGGTCTCTCATAATTTTTAATTAATTTTTTTTCTGAGATTGTTTGTTTAGCAAACATTTAGTCTGATATTTGTAGGAAAAAATGTGATGCTGGGTGATATTTTAATGTACGTTTTGGCTGACCAAACATATATCTTGCTCTATAATGAGGTCTAGCATTGAATGCCTAGGGGTGACTTTTTTCTCATGCTAACATATTGTGTTGTTTCTTATATTCATGTCTTCTCAGTTTTTTTTTGATCAATGTTTTATGGATTACAAGCAAGCTAAAATATTCATATGTTCTTCTTGCCGTTTGGTATGATCAATGCCTTCCACAAAGTGGCTAATACACTGGACTGTGCTTTTTGAAATTACATATACGGTCCTGAAATAAAATCCCATTCTTCAGTTTAGTTTGGCATTTCGCTGAATTGAAATAAGAAGCTGGATGCTGTTATTTTTGTTCTCAGATAGTTATTTAATCTAATTCATTGTTTCCCCTGCTTGCCATGTTGCTTATTTTATTGTTCCCAAGGATTTTGCACAAAACATGAAGTAGCAATAACCTGACATAACTATGCTGATGTCTGAACTCCCATGAAATCATATCAGTTTGCCACTAATGTTGCCCCCTGCTAAGGGGAATTCTACTCAGAAATTATATTTACTTGTTTTTGTTTGCCACTATACAACGTTCTATGTATGCAAAGAAAATATCACATGGAAGGTGAACCGATGGCTAGAATTTATTTTCCTGAAAAATTCACCCTTTGATGTTAACAGGAAGTCAAATTCTGGCGCAGTCAAAATTGTCAGAATTTCTCTTAACCCAGTGAAACATCCTTTGCATGCAGTTATCATTCTGCCTCTGTCAACTTATGTATTATATATTTAAAAACATTTTTTTATTGTGACATTTGCTCTAAAAAGGGGATCATTTGCTTGCTTTTCAGTCCCTTGATGTCCCCTGAAAGCTCGGCCTAACAGTATTTTACATGAACTTGAATGTTCACTCACAGTTGAATCTGCCTACCACTGGCAGTGATTCACACATGAGGCAAGGTAACATGAAACTGCTCATTTTAAGATGCTGTAAAAAATGCCGGCTGAAATAAATTTCAGCCAGTAAACGTGACAGATAACATTTTGATAGAATTCTTCTTGACACTAATCTTGACACTACATCTATCTGTTATGTCCTGCCCATCATGTCTGCCTGACCCTCCTGTCTTCTTCCTACCATGGCCCTGATGAGCTACGTCTGTTGCTTGTTATCCCTCGTTAGTCTTTGCATTTGAGTATCTGTTTGTCTGGTCATTGACGTCTCTCCTCCTGTCTGCCCGTGTCCTTCCTGTACTAGCCTTCTTCTTTTGATCCCTCTCGGTCTCATTAGTTTCCCTGCTCCCATTCAATTCAATGAATCCCTTTTTTGTTTGCCAAACACCTGCCTCGAGTCCTTCATCTCATATCTCGTGACAGAATGACCAGATTCCCAAACAACCCCTCCAGCTTATACCTACACCCCGGCTTCCACGCCTCCCTGCATCCAGCAGACTGAATACCCAGAGGGCCTTGGATTCAAGGACCGAAGGGGTTAGCAGTGCTGCAGAAGCCAACCTGCATTCAAGTGGAGGACTTCTTTTCCCTCCTGCATACCCATCTGCAGTGGAGGAGTAATCCCACGGTCTGGAGGACTCCCAAGGCTTTCTTCCAGAAGGTGTGGAGGGCGCTAGTAAAACTCACCCTGGACGTGGATCCCCAGGAGCCAGAGAAGGTTTGGCGCTTACTGACTAATGTGTGGAGGCTAGTCGAACATGAGGCCATTCAGTCTGCCGTATGATGCCACTTAGTGCACCGTGTGAAGCCACTCTGCTCGCCACCTATCCACAGCATGAAGCAGCTCAGCCCATTGGCTCTCCATAGCCTGCGGGCTCTCTGCAGCTCACTGTAGCTCAGTCCACTGCCTCTCTGTAGCTTGCTGCAGCTCCAGGCTCTGGCTGAAGCAGGAGAAAGTGGAAGAAGCTGGCTGTGCCCAAGTCTCCTATCTCCTATACCCCATGCAGCCAGAGTCCATCTCTCCTGACTTGGTGCAGTCAGAGCCCTGCCCAGCAGAAGCTGCCACTGCACCTACAGAGCCCTGCCCAGGGTAAACCAGCCTTCAGAGTTCTGCTCAGGGAAAGCTGCTGCGCCTCCAGAACCTACTGAAGGAAGGGCTGCTGCCGCATCCAAGTCTCCAGAGCCTGACCCCAGGAGGGACCACTGCTCATCCCAGGGCTCCCGATCCAAGCCCTGGGGGGGCCACCTCTTGTCCTGAGCCTCCAGAGTCTGGCCCACAGGTGCCCACACATCCTGTACTCTCCTCTGCTGTGCCCCCACAGCCCATTTTCACCTCTTCTGGGCCCTCAGAGCCCATCCAGAAAGGGCCACTCCACCCTTGTCTCCAGGTGCCTGGCCCAGAGAGGGCCACCTCACCTGCGTTCCAGACTCCCAGTCCGAAGAAGGCTACTTCTCTTGAGTCCCTGGCACATATCTCCTGTGCCCGGTCATGCTGCAGCCTTGCCATCCCACAGAGAACCCCAGCGATGACGTCAGGTGTCCTAGCTGCACCCTGCTTGCCTCCAGGTGTTCTGGCTGCAGCCTGCTTGCCTCCAGGTGTACAAGCTGCGCCCTTTTTACCTCCAGGTATCCTGTTGTCTTCTTCCTCATCTCCTGCCATCCTGCCGGCTCCTGCCTCATCTCCTGTCATTGCCTAGGAGGCCTGGTCGCTTCCAGGCCTGGTTCAGTCGACCCAGAAGATGCCCCACCAGAGGATTTAGAATGGGATACTCTGGGCCTTGCCCAATGTCCCTCTCTGTGGGCCCCTGTCTCAGCCCAAAGTGTACACCGACTCAATCCCAGTGTAGTCAGCAGTGTTGGCTTGGGCCCCAAAGAGAGGTTGGCCAAGTCTCCATCCCCAGGAGGGGGAGATGGGGTCACACTCTCTTGTTTGTCCAATGTTGCCTGCCTGGACAACTCTTCCAATTCCCTTGGTGCCCTCCTACTCCTGCCCTGCAGTTTCCTCTGCACCTTCCTGCTCCTATCATGCAGTTCCCTTGGCACCCTTCTGCTACTGCCCTGCAGTTCCCTCTGAACCCTCCTGCTCCAGCCCTGCAGTTTCCTCTGCACCCTCCTGCTCCTACCCTGCAGATTCCTCTGCACCGTCCTGCTCCTGTCATGCAGTTTCATCTGCACCCTCGGGCTTCTGCCATGCAATTTCCACAACACCCTCCTGCTCCTGCCCTGCAGATTCCTCTGTGCTCTACTGCTCCTACCCTGTAGTACCCTCAGTGCCCTCCTGCTCCTGCCTTGCAGTTCCCTTGGTGCCCTCCAGTTCTCATGGCACCCTCCAGCCCTGCTGTTCCTCCTAGGCACTTAGGTCCTGCTGTCTGGACAGACCCCACCTCACCATTGAACAGGCCGCAGAGGGCCTGCATCCTAGGGTCACTGCCCAGTTTCCCTGGGTCCGGGAGACTTCCCGGACTTTCCTCATTTGCTCCAGGCATGCCTTGGTCCCGGTCCTGTTTCCCAGTCCTCCCTTGGTTTTGTCCTGGCCTGTGTTTCCATCCCTGTCCCTGTAGCTCCTTTACCTTGTTTGTGTTCCTGTCCTTGTATGTGTCTTTGAGTGTCCTCTGTTCTGTCCCTGGATTTGCCTTTGTCTGTTTCATACCCTTTGTCATGTCATGTGTCTTGTCCCGTGTCCTGGGTTTTGTCCATATGGTATCCCACAGATGTGCTGTGTTCAGTTTGCCTCTGTCCCTGTCTCTCCGGCTCCCTGGTCCCTGTTGATATCTGGCATTTCTCTCTCTGGTCTCTGGTCCCTGATCCATGGTCCCTGGTTCCTTCCCATGTTTGGTCTGTTTTTGTCTGTGGTTCTGTTTAATGTTGGTCTTTCCTAGGGTACTTTTGGTTCCTGGTCCGGCCCTTGCCTGTTCCATGCCTATTGTTGTGCTGTGTGTCCTATTCTGTTCGGTGTGCCCCTCTGGTCTTGTGTGGTGTTTGTCCCATGTACCCTGCCAGTCCGGCTGTGCCCTGTCGCATCCGGTGTCCCATCTGACTCTGGTCCTGTGTGTCCGCCCTTGTGTTTGATCCCCTTGGTACCCTCCCCTGTTCGTCCTCCATGTTTCTCAGAGGGGGTACTGTTATCGCCTTCCCGTCATGTCCATCTGACCCTCTTGTCTCCTCCCTAACGTGGCACCGATGAGCCATGCCTGTTGCTTGTTACCCCTCATTTGCCTTTGTATTTAAGTACCTGTTTGTCTCATCAGCCCCAGTGCGGACATTGACGCCTCTCCTCCTGTCTGCCTTTGTCCGTCCCCATACCAGCCTTCGTGTTTTCACCCTTGATTTTGTTTGGCTCTTTACTCCCATTTAGTTCAATAAACCACTTTTTGTTTGCCAAACGCCTACCTTTGAGTCCATCTTGCATCTTGTGACACTATCCATAGCTGTTTAACTAATGCAGGGTCGCCATTAGCCTGGAGCTCATCCCAGGAAGTACTGGCCATGAGGCAGGGCACAGTCTGCATGACTGCACTATGAGGCACACATACACACAAGCAGGGTGTTTTAGAGATACACATGCAGCTACACCCTAGGGAAACCCACAGAAACTCAGGTAAACATGCAAATTCTACACAGGGCAAAGGTGGGGAAAAAATCCACAACCTCATAGGCATGAGGCTACAATGCTACTCAAATTATCTGTGGAAAATGTTTAAGCATTGAGTTTATTTTGTGTTTTATTTTTGGGCCGAATAAATGCACTGTCTAATCCAGCTGTTCGAAGTCTGCAATGTCAGTGTACTGGATGCGGCAAAAAGAAAGGCATGACCGCAATGCATAAATCATCTGTTACTTTTTCTCTGTATGAAGTGAGACAAAAGTACTGCCTTACAAAATTCTAATGGGAATCAACAATATATCTTTTGGTCCTTTGTTTTATGAGGAATATAGTTCAGGAAGATGGTGAATAGTAGATATAGAAGCATTGTTTTCTGTGTAGTATGCTATAGTGTTTGTTTTTTCACACTTTTTTTATTCTGCAGCCTTTCAGACTTTGAATTGGAGTACCAGGACCTCTGGGATTGGCTGACAGACATGGAATCCACAGTGACGGACAGCCATGAGCTTATGATGTCAGTGGAGCAGCGACAGCATCTTTACAAGGTCAGTGCACGGTACAATACTCAGGGCAAGACTTCTACTCTCATAGAGAATGTCATCAAATTAGAGGGTTTATTAAAACTCCCCAAAGCTGCCCTTGCTGTCTCACCTTCCCATTCTTACCTTGTGAATTTCACAAAGCTCCTTTTATCACATTTCATCTAGTGTGATTTCATATAGGAACAAAGATCTATGAAGATGAGCCGAAACAAAAGTGGTGAGAGTCGGTAGCAAATAGACAGGAGTGAAATGAATAAGAAATGCCTGCATTTGTTTATATTTGAGGTTTCTGACATACATGGATGTCCTTTGGGTGTGAACTCGGAATTATGAAAGGTAAAAAAAGGAAAGTGGGCAGAAGAAAGAGCATTTCCTCCTTTGCTTTAAATCCTTCCCGATATGCGCCTTGTCTCAATGAATTTTTATTAGTGATAGATAAAACAGGCCATAATGCATTAAGTCAATATGTTTGTTCATGATTAAAACAAACTGATTTGAGGCTGTGATATTGATTCCATTCCCTCTTCCCCTAATAAATATGTACTCCATTGCTTGTTTGTTATCAATTTTTTCTCTGTGCTCTAGCCGCACACATCTTTTTTTATCTGGCTAACACTGGATTGATTGAGAATGGGGAATTTGGAGGTCCTTCGGCTGGTAGGATGTTATTTGCAAAGGCTGGGGGATTTTATCATGAGTGAGGACCAGCCCATGCCCCTAGAAGGCGCAGGCGGTAAATCAGGCTCATTTAGGCCATTTTTATTGTACTGATTCTGACACTCGTCATCCTTGAATTGCACTGAGCATATGGCATATTTCAGAAGAGCAGATTGTGAATCATAAAGAAATAAAATTAATAACCGCCTTCACAACTGGAAACAACATCATGACAAGAAACAACTATTCTTAGCATTTCCTCTCACATTTTCATTTCAAAATTGCAAAAGGTTACAGTCAAGGTCAAAACTAATTTTCTCTGGAATATTGACCTCACAATTAGTCATATTTTAAAGTTATAATACATAATTTCTTTTTCTTTTAAGTTCCATGTTGAAAGACTCTGTTCTGCCTTTCAAAAGAGGAATTTAAAGCAATTTTTGACAGATTCTTTGTCAATTACCCCATTTTCTCTTGTTTCTGTTCAGCAGTTCCAGCCAATTGCAAAGTGTCTAATAATAATAATTTTACTAATAGTAATTTCATAAAACATTAATTTTCAGGATATATTTCTTTATTTTCATATTGCGACTTCTGTGAGTTTTGGTGTCATGTTCTTCATTTCGCGTGGTTATTTGGAGAGTATACCTCACCATAAAACATCAGGTGTTTGCACCGGTAGTTTTCCAAATCTCCTCAAAGGATGTGTCAACATTCCTTTTGACAGGATTGCATCTCTGCAATTTCTGACAGCTTGAATAAATCAAAGTTAATCTGTCCATATCTGATGCCCCAATCAAAGCACCACTTGCCTCTTACACTCTTCTCGTTTCAATGGATTTAAATCTAGTCTTTGGGCACATTCTGTTTTGATGGAGGCTTTTCTTCATTTCCCATACCTTTTGAATTTTATGTAGTTTCCCAGCAGACAGTGTGTATGCCCATCGACTGTTGTTCATAAATCATGCATTAAAAGATTTGATCTTAATTAGTGGAATCTCTTGTGAATCCTTGTTCAGATGCATCAGAAAAGTCTCTTTAAATTTTTCTTCAAAAGGGCATTATTTACATGCACCGTGAGATTTGTGGGACTAGTAAAAAACAACCTGCCTTACAGCCGCAGATTCCTTTGCCTTTACTGTATTTTTCATTATGTCAGTTATTTAGCCTGTAAATTTACTAAAAGTGAAGTAATGATTGAATCAAGGGAGGCTGAACTTCAGAAGTTTTAGTATTTTGTCAATAATTGAAGAAAAAAACTGCATAAATGGAGAAAATTATGTAGGTTTCTGAACAGTGTGTGTCGTGCCTCATTCTGAATGATGCTGTTTACTAAGCAAACATATGTAGATTGTAGATCGATGACATAGATGCATGCAAGTGTTGATTAAAAAAAGCAAAACATAGTTCATTCTCTTCTTTTGAAACAAGAAGTGTGAAACTTTCTTTCAACTAGTTTTATTTTCAATCTGTGATTTAACAAAGGTCAAAGTTGATTTCATCAAGAAGCTTGCGATAAGAAACAGTGTTCAAGAGGTCTGTCTGCAATTATGGTGCACCAGACCAGTTAGAAATGCATCCATAATATTGTTTTGTTTTCCACTACTATTGTTTTGGTGTTTCAACATACAGAGTTACATGTACAACATATTCACAATGCTGTATAGAGCTAGTTTAACTAGAGGCAGTTCTGCATTTTTATGAAAAGCACACTGAGAAAGGAACAGCATCTGAATGTAAAAACTGAGGTTAGAGCATTCGTCTGTCTTGCTGCTCGCCTGCCTGCTTCATGCGGGGAGGTCGTGACGCAGGCCTGTTTTATGTAGCAGGAGCAGGTGGTGTTTAATGTGTAGATTTATCTCTGCGGGGTTCTCAACTGCAGCAAGAGGCCTAGCGAATGCAAGGTGCCCCGGCCAAGTTCCCATCACTCAGCATGCAGATGCACACATGTGCGGGTGCTGTTGGTCTGTATTAAATGTACAAAATTCAATTAAACTGTTTTACAGAGTAATGCTAACAGATTGTACACTGTGCATGTAGTGTGTTTTTAATAATAATTATATAAATTAATTATGTGTATACTTGGTAACACATTCTATGAAGCTCTTTTTGTGTAGATACCTTCATAATGCATTTAGTCAACTAAATCTACAGTACATGCTATCAAATGAAACTAACAGGTTTAGCTATAGTCTACACATATACAGTATGTACACACACACACACACACACACAGATTACTCTGCATCTATTCACCCTAGATTCCTGAAGGAAACATCTGTAGAGCTGTCATTATAGCATGCCATTAGGTTTGAAAATAATGTTTAAGGACATGGACTGGAGAGCACTTTTATACAAGGACTAACAAGGGAGCAAAACTAGAGGCAGCTGGAGTGAATCACACAAGGGCAGGAATGAGGTAAGACACACATAACAGAATGAGAATCATGTAACAGAGTGCAGTGGAGGAGGATTCTACCTGACGTGATGATTTCCTGATGGTACCCAAACTAGTGTTATCCAGTGTGCATACAAAGATCTGAAAAGAGCTTCACATTGCTCATTGTCCAGTAGTCTATTTGTAACAGTTTTTTTGTTTATTTTTCATCAGCAATGATTTTAAAAGCATTGTCTTAGTTTTTATCATTAAAGGTGACTTTTTATTTAGTTTTTGTTCCATTTTTGTCACAGAAAAAAATGTTGAGAAGTATTTTTCATCTTAGTTTTTACCAACAAAATTAGCACTAATGCATTTTTAACAGGTTATTGTCTGCTTCATATAAGGATACATTCATGTCTATAATGTGTTTATAGCTAGCGAGAAAGTTCTATCGCGTATTTTTCTTCACTTCAGTGCATTTCAAAGTAGACTGGTATCAGTGTGTTTCTGTGTTTGTGGTTGTGCATTTTGGATAGCTGTATACATCTGTGCATGGAAGTGGCGAAACAGAATATGTGCTGTTTTCTTTTATGAGTGTGTAATATCAGTCCACATGACTGTGACACCCAATGTGAGGCGTGTGTGTGTGTGTGTTTTTGTGCATGTATGAAAGAACAGCAAACTGCGATAAAAAATTATGTGTCCCGCTTGCAAGTGAAAGACTGAAGAGTGTTCGTGAAGATGTTTACGCTCAGGTGTCCCTTTAAGACACCTGATTTTAAGGATATTCATTAACCTGCACTTCCTGATATACTGTGGGGAAATTACTGCAGTTGTCATTTTGATGGGAATCTGTGTGCTGATGGCCATGTTCATGTGACCCAGATCATCATCCATTCAGAGGGACATATCGGATTGAAGAGTGTAATGCTTATCAAATAATCACTGCAACCAATCCAATTATTCTACATCTGTGCTTTCCTTTTTTGTCATTCCCTCTGGGTTCATGACAAGCAAACCGTTCATGGGAGAACAGAAAATAGCTAGAGGAAACAGCACTTACGCAATTTTCTGCTTGACTGTGCATGTGTGTTTAAAAACCGCAGTTCTGTCTTAACTTACATTTTCTTCTTTTGAGATACATAAAATTATTTTTGATAACTGGATGTATTTTATTCAAAGTAAATCAAACGCTTCAGAAGACCCTGCCCCCCATCCCCCCATCTAAAGTTTGCCACCTCAAAGTTTATGAATAGCAGGACAGCAAACAAACGCCACACTGTATTTGTGGAATGCTTGGCTTCAGCATGTTGCCTGGGCAACCCCAGTTTCACTTCCAAAAGTAAACAAAAGGTTTTTTTTTTTCTCAAACTTACAATTAATAAAACTCTTCCGGGACAGCTTGCAACAATTTGTGCCACTTGGCAAGCACTGAACTGACAGTTTATTGAAATAATATATACACATGTATTACAGCCTCAAAGGACATGGAACCGTGTGTTTGTCTGTGTGTATGCATGCGTATATGTACTGTAATGCATATACTGTATGTTTTTCCACTGAACTTCAGAAAATTAGTTTTTATTGCTATTGTTTTGGGGTTCAGTGGGGCTGTTCGGGGATAATTTCAGTGGTGGTGTGATTGGGAGGGATAGCTGGCAGTGTTCTGCCATCTGACACAATCCCTCATTCAGGGTACCATTCTGGGCCTATGTCCAAGTACGGCGGTGTCCCTCTTTTTTTTGGGGGGGGCATTATTGCTTGGTTTGATGCTGTCTCATTGGTGAAAATATGCTGTGAAATCTTGAATGTGTTCTCAGTGGTAACCAGTGTACCATATATCTTCAAAACGTCAACTTTTCATTGGAACTGAAGTTGACAGAATTTTCCAGGTGACATCTCCTTAGTACTGCAACTGCAGGCATACAGTACCCTGTAGCCCTCTGTAAGACTCTATTCTCGAGCC